AAATTTATTATGTAGAACAACACCGCCTTAACGCACTGGCTTCTATTTAACGCTTTGGTTCATAGCAACAAAGATACCAATGGGAAATCATTAGACAAATACACGATTTTTGCAGCATAATAGGTCTATGTTTGATATCATTTGGAAAAAAAAAAAAAAACAACAAACCAACAAAACCTCACCCAGCTCACACTGACAGGAAAAATATGGCGATATTATAAACGTTAACAGATTCCAGAAAGGGATTTTATGTTAATTCAAATGTTAATGTTGTCCCAGGCTGCTGATGGAAGGCAGGGCTGTGGCATCAGATGAGATAGATGTGGCAGGCAGTAGGAAAGCATCAGCTTGTGGTGTGGGTGGTGAGTTTTATTAATTGTATTTCCTCTAGAACTGTAACAACTTGTCAGTAATCTGCATGTTTGGTACTTGATTGTTAGTGATTTTGCTGGCTCCCATCCTTACCACCATCTCCTCGTGCTGACTCCGGCCATGTCCCAGCAAGATGGGGCAGTGAGAAGCTTGGCCTTCTTGTATACATCTTCACTGCCCCAAGTCAGTCAGTGACTGCAGTGCCACTGAGCTGGGGCTGCTGTTTCCAAGCCAACATCCACATACACATCTCCCAGCCTACTGGAGCCTCTCCAGCTGTCCGCAGCCCCCAGCGCTGCCCCTCACAAAGGGAGCCTGCCTCTTGCCCAGATCTTGAAGTATTCCTGTGTGGGAGCCAAGAGAAAGGAAGGAAGAAAAAGAATCCCCGTAAGCCTGCTTTTGATAGGAAACCATGCTAAAAATCAAACAAAAAAATCAGCACAATGCAGGTGACCAACCTCTACGACAAGGCTTCAAGAGAAACCGCCCATTGGGAGCCCAGGGATGCCCAGGTGCTGCTCCCAGCCCACGCAGACATGGGTGGACCAGGCTGCAAAACAGGTAACAAAGTGTTCTGCTGCCATTTCCCAAGGGAAAGCATTTGCTTGAAAGTACTCAAATGAATTTGAAGCGATCTATGGGGCACTTTGTAACATTAACGACTGTTACCAAGTGTCTCTTCCTTATATTGAAGTGTTTGCTCATTGCCAGCCAGGGGAGACGAGACAGCCTGCTCGTGCCTCGCAGTACTTCCTCCTCACCCAAACAGATCACATGAACACGGCCATTACTAGTACCAGACTGAAGCCCAGAGTACTAATAAAACCATGGAGGATGAGCCAACCTTCGGCACATTCTTCCTTCTGTAAGATTTTGGTCAAAATTAATACATTTTTCTTACTTGCCCATGGCTGACAACTGGGCTGCCCAAACCAAGACTTAGACAGCTTATCTTGACCTCCGCTAAGATAACATCACCATCCTGGCTTATGTGAGAAGGAATACCTCCTGCAAGCCCAGGAACACCAGCCTCACCTGTATCAGAGACCAACATCATACGGAGCTGGCTGAGACAAGAGAAGAACTTGTTTAAGGTTGGTCTGAGAATAAAATGAAACATAACAACCAAGCCTCACTGTGGGCTGTACCATCAGGTATCATGCTGACGGCTGTAGGTACTTGGACAGTGAATGTGGGGGTGAATAAAAGTGGTCAGCTTTAAAACTTGTCACAGTCAACAAGCCACAGGCATACAGAAAAATGGGGCTATGGCCCCAGGCTGCAAAAGCTAAGCATCATGGTAAGCTACCCACTTCACAAATGCAAAATACCTTGCATGGAATTACAGAATGAAACACTGCCTTGCACCTTTCTGTCTGATGGTGTTACTCTGGGATTCAATCCAAAAGCACTCATACCATTTATTCAGGCTACACGCAGGGCACGCAGCAGGTGAGTTCATGTAACTGGAGTCTGAACACGATAACCTGGCAAACCGCAGCTGCTGCTGCTTTCTCTTGTCCCTTGTGGCAAGAAAACCTAATGCTCCTACACAGCTTTATTACATTCTTCCTGCCACTGTAGAGAGTGCCTATCTGCCAACTCAGCCACTTTCAGTTCTACCTGAGATCTCTTCCATCCAGGTTTAAAACTAAAGCCACGAGCTGTGCCGCTGGCTGGTGCAATTGGTGCAGCTTCACTCTCCCACCACTAATGGATTCTTCATCCCAACATCATCAATCTGCACAGCCATTCTGAAAGCCCAGCTGCGTCCAAGTTACATTCAAAAACTTTGTTCACAGTTCTCCTAACATCACAGTGGAGCAGTGGAGATGAATATGACATCCCAGGTTGCACTTTCAGCACTGGGATGATCACAGCTGCAGTGGGTGCTCCAGCTGCAGGACTTCCCAAAAAATGACCAACCCTGCTGTTTTCTTCCCTCTGGAAAACTGTTAAGCTTGTGATTAAAACCAGGATAATTTCAGTTTCACGGAATTTTGTTATATACTGTTTGTAAATAAGCACATCGTTGTTTGATTTTGCTTTTATAGCTTGAGCCCATTCATATGTGGCTGAATAATTTTTTTTAAACAAAGTGAAGACCAACTGAAGCACTGCAAGGCATTAAAGGCATTTAGATCTAACGCAGTGTTTCCTCACCACAGTTTGAATACTATCATAAATCCACTAGCTCCTCCTCTTTCCCATGCTCATGAAAATTTAAGAAATTGAACCCTTGTTTCTGTATCAAAAATAATTAAGAACTGAAACCTCTGGGAAGAGGCGGCACAGGTCTGTCTGACGCATGTCCCCAAAGGGACACTGAGGGGAGCCCTGCTGAAACTTCAAAAAGCAGTCAGTACTTCATTAAAAATATACTTCTCACCATACTTGTAACATAAGAGCATACCCTGCTCCCTAAAGCAAAAGCAGTTTCCACATAAACACCCAATTCCAACACCCAGTCTGCTTCTCAGAATTGCCAGCAATTTTAGAACCACAGCCCTCCAGGATCAGGGAGCTCTTCCTTTCTTCCTTGACAGCCATTTGATTTCACATGCCCTCAAACGTGCCAATCTGCAGACTTGAAAACCCCAGCTTCATTCAGCCTACAAACAATGCATTATTGCTTTTTCCAATCTCAAACTCACCATAAACAGAAATGAAAAGCTTCACATACCAAGTTATTCTTTTGTGCTTGGCTTGAACTGATTATTTCAAGAGACAGAAAGGAGACAGATTACACGGTATCACAATATTCTGCAGTCTTAATTAAGTGTTTGATTAAATATTAGTTGTGTCAGTAGAAGACAATTTAAAACTTGACACAGTTTTTGTACTTTAACAGTAAGACCTAATTCTATTTTATTTTTTGATGGGACAGGAAGGGGAGGTCTGAGTAGCATTGTAGTCTATGAATTACTATTAAATAATTGCAGCATTTTCAACATCTTAGCACCTGGCAAAACCACTGTGCTGACCCATGTATTTTCAACCTTTCCACCAACCCATTCCCTAAGCCCAGCTTCACAATTACAATCTCCCCTCACTAATTTAGGGCTGCTTCCTTCAACACAATCAGAGCCACCGCAAACATCCAAGGGCAGCAACAATAGAGAATCAGCTCTGGATTCTTTTCTCTCGCTCCAAGTTTCTCCAATGCCCCCAGCTTTCAGACCAAGGTGAGGCTTTGATGCATAGTTATGGCAAAGCTTTCAGGAGGAAGAAGATAATCATATACCACCTGGGTTAGCACAGAATTCAATTTATTTTGCAGCATGCTTTATGCTGGTCTGTAGCTATTAAAGGGAGAGACAGTTTCAAGCCCAAGAGTGCACAGCAATGTGCAGCTGAATTGCTGTTTCCCATTCCAGGCCCTGTGCTGCCTTCAGTGAGCAGCACTGCGTGTTAGTGGGTCCCTCTCCCCACCTCTCAGGGTAACAAGTTCGAGACAGCTTGCAGAAATGTTAACTGATGCTCACCTCTTGCCCAACCTTCAGCCTCTTTGCAAATTTGCAAACATGCTGAAATCTTTTTCTCTTACCCCATCAGCAGGTCTGCCTGCTTCTTTCTTGCTAATGCAGATCCATCTCCAGGTTGGTCCTGACAGAATTTGTGAGAATAAGATTCTTGGGCAAAAATAGACAGGGAAATCCCTCCTTTTGTTTTCACTTACTTTTGAAGCACCCTACAAAGATAGCGCACCTAAACATGCATGCACACCCAAGTATACTGCAATACAACCAGAAACAAGACATTCTTGAAGTGCAAGAAAGAGAAGAAAAAATAGATCTACAGTCCTCTTGGAAAGTACAGCATCTCCAGCACAGGATTGCATTGGTACCTGGGTGCTCCCAGAGCAGAGAGCTTCACACTCTGAGCAGACCACTTAGAAATAACACTGACCTCTGAAGAGTGGAAGAGTTATCACACTGGCAGGATTACCATCAAAAGCAGAGAGGAGATTTAGAAAGAAGCCAGTTACATGAACTACTTCACAGAAGTAGGTGTATATGTCACTATAGCAGACAGCTGTCCCACACAGCCCAGAGAACACGAGGGACACCTGCACTCACAGCTGAGTGATGTTAACCAGAAAGTCATACTTAGCTTAAACTGAAAGTTAGCATTTATCACATCTGTGATGTTTTTACAGAATATTCCTTGAAGTTAGAAGTAACAAAGTATAATCTGTCTATAGAGCCAGTCAGTTTAAATATAACTTAAAAACTTCAACTAAGCACTATCAAGTACCAGAAACTCCCATGCTGGTGCTTGGTGAGAGATTCAAAAATTAAGCCCAGAAAGCACCTTTCAGGAGGCATTTTTTTCTTTTTTTCTTGTTTGTTCTGCTTTCTTCCCTCTCCTCAGGTTTTGGGCTCTAAATTTAAGGACAAGTATTAAAATGTGTCTTGACAACTCCTCCACTGTTACAAATGCTTGTTAATTGGCAAATGAAGTTTGCTTGGCCGGGACATGGGACATGCAGCACTCCAAGAAATGAAAGCCTCTCTGAGCTGGCACCAGCAATCTTGTTCAGCTTATATCTGCAGTTGTTAACACAGGATTTATAACCATTCATTGCAAGAGGAAAAAAAAAAAAAAAAGCCAGCAGCACCAAATAATTTGCTTACCATTAGTTACAGAAGGCATATTTATTATATCAGAGCTTTAACATTTATCAGAATACTGGGTTGGGGAGAAAGGAAAGGGAGAATAACTTAAAAGCAATGTTGGTGGAAACTTACATTTAGAAAGATTAACCATCAGCAGAGAGGCAGCTTCCAGAAATACAAATGTAGCATCTAAGTAATCTACAGGACGTGGTGAATCCTGGTATAGCCACAAAAGCTCTCAGTGTTGTGGAATAGTCCTTCAAAGTGAACACCATGAAAAAAAGTCAGCAACTGTTTTTGCATCTATTTCCCTTCAGAAATGGTCTTACTATGAACTCCCAGATACTATAAAGGTCAAGGACTATGCTTCCAATAAACAATAGATTTACAGGCACACGCCATCCCAGAATTCAATTTTGCACAGATTACTTGTTGTCAAAGTACATGCCAAAATCCCAAAACTTTAATTATTACATTTAAAATAAAGGCAAGCTTCTCTCCCCATTGCTTCTTGCTGTTAAATACAATGATGCAGACACTGACTCAAGAAGTTCCGAACACACTGATTGTTAGCACGTGTTGTGGAAGGATTCCCCAAACACTTGTCACGTTTATTATCCCCTCTTATCATGTGCAACTCAATAAGAAAAATCTAAATCAACATAAAAATTTATCTTAATATCCAAAAATGAAACTTCCATTGGTAAGCTAGTAGTGCTAAATAAATAAGATGATAGTTACTATATTCGTTGCACCCAGTTCCCACACTACACTACTGGTCACAGTCTGAAAAACCTTAGCTGACCATAATCAAAAGAAAAATAGGAATATACATAAAACCAGCTGTCTTAGACAGCATTTTTATTAAAAATGGATACACAGAGACATAGCAGCATTTACAATAAAGATTTTTCTTAAAAAGGCATCAGGTTGTAAGCCAACCATTTGAAAAAGAGGCTTTGAAATGTCGCCTTGCACAGCACGTTTTGCCCAGTTGTCAACAGGGAACTGCATAACTGCTGATTATTCAAAAGACAAACAGGCACGGTAAATAACCTAAACTTTAAGCCTTTTTTTCTGAACAGTTGGTCACATCAAGCATCACCCTCAATAGCAGCATTTGGAGCACTCTTCGGTGTTCTTTTAAGTGGCTGGCGTACTCGATCCATTTCTATAAAATATTTTAACGTTCAATAAAAATATTTCAAATAGAAAAAAATCTTCTGTCATGAAAAAGATAACGTTTCCTTTTCAAATTCCATAAAAGCTTATGAATGTCACCGGCAGCATTTCCATAATGGAGCAGGAGTTAGAACCAGCAGAACAGGCACTTCAGCAAAATCATCTGTAAACAGTTCGTACAGTCATATCGGCTTCAGTCCAGCGGGCTGCTTCTTACTGCTTTGTGGTGGTGTAAGGACACCAGTGGGAAAAGGTGAAGTCCTATTTTGCTCAGCCAATATGGCTTGTTTTGCTTGAGCTTTGTCCTGAAGGCAGCACAGCAAAAGAGAAAAAAAAAATAAAAAAATCTTCACTTGGGTGTATTCATGCAACAGATCAATACTGTAATTCAGGGTTTTAGAACTTAATACTCATTTCCTGATTGCTAATCTATCATGTGCATGCAGGACACAATAGCCAGTGAATATAAACTCCAAGAAATTAACATTCACTTTTAGAATCTGACTGTCAGCATTACGGTATCTTCAAGATTTAAAATTAAGAAGCGACTGAATAATAAGAGATTTAACTTCTACTGTAACCAGGTAACAAAAAAGTTAATAATAATGAAAAAACATAGTTTAAGTTAAGTACAAATTGATGGACATGATTTTGATCCTCTGCAAGTTTGTCACGCTAAAAACCGTTGTTGCTCAACTTCTTGTCAACCACCAGTGTCACACAACAGCCCCACAACATCACTCTCAAGTGATTAGTTAATTTTCTTTTTCATCAGGTGATGTTATGTTATCCACATCTCCTCTAGATAAAGGCCTAATAAACCATACTGTAAGTATCTGAAAAGGCAGAAGCACGCTTCCCGTTTCTAAATTATTTGTCCTTTGATATAATAGGCTAAAATCATGGCCACCTTTTTATACTAACTACTGTACAAGCCAGGTCTTTTCCCTGGTAATTTTGCAACCAGCATACAATCTTAGGCCTTTTACACTCATTATACAATCTCAATCTGATAATGCTTCATGTGAACTTAATTCACGTTCAAGCCATAGAAGAAACAACACTTAGAGATTTTAGGCAGTTTTTGCCTTCAGTATGCATATACATACCAGCAAATCCAAGCTGTTTATGTGCGTCTGTATATTGTGCAAGTCTTCAGGAGCTATACCTCTAAAGTGTTTGAGTTTGGAGCTTCCTACTTCCCTTATAGCCATAGCAAATGGAACCATCCATTTTACACATTCCTCTATCTCACACCATTCATAACCTAGAAGACAAGACATAGGCTTACCTGCCTGGCTTAAGATTTCATGTTTGTAAATACATTAGGCAATCCATAAATACCACTCTTATGTACCTGAAACTTTCTGCATCAACTCAGATGAGGAGAAGTGGTACAAAGCAGAAGCTGCAAGTACACCATATGTATACTCCAAGCAGCCAATATCCAGCACACAGAGATCCAAGAGCTACAAGATGACAGATGTCTAATAAGTCTATTGCAAAACATTTTTTTCAGATGAAATAGTATTTGAAGGATGGAATCAATCTTACCTCTGCTATTTGTACAAATATTTGTTGTGGATATTGTGGCAACAATACCTCATAAAGCTCATTTAAATAGGCAACTTGCATGTAAATGTTTAGCCATGATACAACTGTCAGTGGATTTAAGTTCCAATTAAGAGCCTGAAAGAGTAGACATACACAGCACTTCAGTATTAATAAAGAGTTCTTAAGTGAGACCATGCAGCTTTATTTACTCTAGACAGTAAGCTGGGCAAGGCATTTTTGGAACATGCAAATCAATTCTTTCCCACACCTCCTCCTACTGATAGGAGGAAACAATTCATTTTGTTAAATACTTGCGCACTGATGGATGCTTTAAATCACCTGTTACCTAGAGGACACTGTTTTCTAATTAGAAAATTGTCTCTTACCAGCACATAAGATTAACTGAGCCTCTTGCTTTTAGTTTGATTATGCTATACCTTAAAAAAAAAAAAAAAAGAACAAATTCCACTTGGACCACTTTGAAATATTACCTTCATAATGATCAATTCCATACTGAGGATTTCATCTTCTGTACAAGCTCCATCTGTAACATAGGCAAACTGGTGCAACTTTGGTGGATAAATTTCCTGAGAGACAGAAAGATCAAGTGTTCAGTTTGACAAATAGGTCATAATTAGTCCTCCCACGTACTAAGAAGCAGAACAACCCAGTGCCACTCCAGCATTTCAAAATAGATAGGAGGGAAAAAAAAAGGAAAATAGCCATTTGCCCCATCCTAACTGATTATGTATATTAAAGGCAGAGGAAAACACATTTCTTTTTCAGCCTTTCTGCTAAAAGTCTTCTGATAGATCAGTACAACATGCATTGACTGACCACAATATCACTGAGGTGCATACAGTATACTGAAAATGGCATCAAGATTATTTCAATGCAGCCTATGGAAAACATCTTTTATCTCTTGTATTCAAATACAGCTCTACTGGTCACAGATGTTTGTACACCTACCAGGATATACAGCCTTATAAAAACTGTTAGAGTAATGACCTCAAGTCTTGTAAGTAGTAAACAAATACTAATTAACCATAGATATTCCAGTGGATTGGAAACAGATTACAGAGAGCCCTCAAACACTACCATCAGAACTGAGCTGCTTTTCAACATGAGGACACATCCTGGCCTAACTGCTCAACAAGTGTAAGCTTCAGGTTAAACAGAGATCTAGAATGAAGCCTAATGATTAAGCAGCTATCTTAGTTTCAGCTGAGACAGAATTGTTTTCTTCATAGTGTCTGGTATGATGCTATGTTTTGGTTCTGAGAGAAAAACAATGTTGATAACACACGGATGTGTATATCTGCTGGTGAGCAGTGTTGGACAGAGCCAAGGCCATTCTCAGCAAAGGGCCAAGGAGCTGGAAGGGAACAGAATTCTGACAGCTGACTTAAGCCAGACATAGGGATATTCCATACCCTACGACATCATGCAGGAGGCATTCAGAGAGGGTGGAAGTTCAGCTCACTCTCTTCCACTGCTTGGGAGGTAAGCTGGGCACTCAGCAATTGCCTGTCCATCACTTGTTATGTGTGTGTATATATATACAAATATATATACAAATATATTTGTTATGTGTGTATATATTTGTAATTATTAGCCTTTTTATTTTCTCTATCTTAGTAAATAGTGTTATCTCAACCCACGAGTTGCATGTTTTTTCCCCCTGATTCTCCACCTTAGTGAGATCACTGGGAAGGGGGGGAGTAAGGAAATGACTGTGGTGCTGAGCCACCTGCTGGGTTCAACTACAGCAGTAGCAATACAATTTATACTTAGGAACAAATCAAACATCAATATGCCTCTTAAAAGAAATATGCCTCTTAAAAGAGTGAGAAGTTTTGAAGCCCTATTTTAATAGCTCTGTTTATGCCAGTAAATAAAAATGGATTGGGTTGTATTATCTAGTAGATACTCCACCAACAGTAGAATTGCAACAAGTGGTCTCTGCATATAGCAGCCAGCCAAAAACTCAATTAGCAACAACAATTAAAAACATTTTGAGTTATTCAAGCACTGAAGAGACTACTCTTTTAAAATGGAGATAGTGGTATGTTAGCTAGCCCTAATTTTAGCCAATTCTAAAATATAAGAAGGATTTTGAAAATAAAAATTGTCTCCTGCTCAAGTCATAGTAATAAGCTCCATAAAAGCTTCCCAAAATGCATTTAGTGTACAGTAAGTGCACTGTTTGTCCAACCATATATTTAAGTTTAGAAAAAAACAGATATTTACCTCAAGCTTTGCTGCTATGAATAAAGAAGAGATTCCAATAAGTTGCAATAGTGTTTTTACAACATTCTGTTGTGTTGCCATAAATCTATCAAAGAAATCTTGTGCTAAATAAAAAGTTTCTCTATGAAGCTTGTAGACTTCACAAACCTAGAGAAACAGAGATACAAAGATTAAGAACAATTTTAAATAGTCAAGAACAGATGCTACAGATTTATTAAAAATGTAAAACCTAGACATACAATTTCATATTTGACTTCTGCTTCACTGACACTGAAAACTAACATATTAGCTAAGAGCAGGAGCTAAGCTGTTTCCTTTGACTCACAGGATGACCACCACTACAGTAAATCCCTCTCTCAAAAAAAATAACAAATCCAAGTGGAAGCCCTTTTATGAAACAGGAGCACATTATAACAATATTGGAACATCAGCTCCTCACATTCACAAACATGCATCATTTCTACACCTCAGAAGAGAAAATTCTCACAACTGCTTTAGAATCAAGAACAAACATGATATCTTGTCATTCAAACATCAAAAATACTCTCATAGAGACAGCAGAGTTGCTACCCATTCCACAAGCCAATAACAGAGAAGAAAGTTCCAGGAGAACTTGCAGCAGCCTACAAGTACCTAGATGGCCTACAGGAAAGATGGAGAGGTCTTTTTTTTTATGGGGAAATATAGCAATAGGACAAGAATAATTAATGGCTTTAAACTAGAAGAACATAGATTTAGATTAGATGTTAGGAAGAGATTCTTCACACAGAGGGTGATGAGGCACTGGAACCAGGAAAGTAGTCGATGCTGCATCCTTGGGAGCACTCAAGTCCAGGTTGGATGGGGTCTTGGACAACCTAGTCTAGTGGAAGGTGCCCCTGCCCATGGCAAGGAGTTGAAACTACAGTCTTTATGGTCCCTTCCAGCCTGACCCATTCTATCACTCTATGTTGTGAGATTGTCCTAGTCTCTAAGACACCACACACTCCTTCTTATAGTAACTTAAATAATCATTTGTGCGGATTTAATCTGTTGTGTGACCTTAAGCTTACCTTGTGGAGCTTTAGGGACAAACTGATTATTATACACTATTCATTTAAATTAATATCTGAACAAGGCCATGCAGCAGACCAGTGACCCAGCTGAGATCAGAGCACTGGAGGCTCGGGCTGCTCGACCCAGTATGTCAGTTCATGTACCATCAACTCAATCCATTGTGTGTATATTTGACCATATATACACATACACATACACACACAAATATATATTTGATACCATTCACAGACAAACTTAATAGAAGACAAGTAGCTAGTGCTAAATGGACTGTGAAACGTCATGAAAAGTGCTCATGACAGTTATTAGCATACTTCAACAAAAGCACATTTAAAGTAGGCACAGACCCAGAAAAGCTTACCTCCATTAGCCAGTCTAGAAGGATTGTTCGCATTTTAGGTTGCAGGAGAGGGTGCCTTTGCATATACAGTTTATCCCTCACATATGTCTCCTCTTTGTTTATCATGTTTTTCCATACATCATCTCTGTTTGCCCAGCTAAGACAGATAGATGAACATGCACAGTTTAAAATCATAAGACAAAAGGAAGGCAGAGAAGCAATAGCAAAGCAGCAGCATACTTACCCCAGAATTGGTAGTGGTGAAGATCTAGTTGAAGCAACATTCAGATGTATGAAGTGAGAGTAATCAACACCAACTGGATCATCATCTTTATCTGGAGTAGGAATCAGCATATGGGGATCTTTGTTAATGTTATTCCAGGACAGCTATAAAATGAAAAAGAAGATTTTACGCTATGGCTGTAAAAGTAATGATTTTAGCTGTAAATAATAGCACACTAGAAATAAACCACAACAAACTGTGATTACCTCTGTAAACACAGAGGCTGAAAATAACCTGTGGAAATCATCTGGCCCAATGCTTTTGCTGAAGCAGGGCCACATACAGCAGGTTGCCCAGGACTACATCCAGGCAGTTTTGAGCATCTCCAAGAAGATCCCTCATTCTGTATTCACAACCTGTTCTAGCACTCTGGTCACCCACACAGTAGAAGTTTCCTGACATCCAGAAGAAACCTCCTGCATTTCATTTTGTGCCCACTGCCTCTTGTCTTACCAATGGGCACTACTGAGAAGAGCTCCATCTTCTTGTACCCTCTCTTCAGGTATTTATATGCACTGATGAGATATTGGTCTAGCATTAAATGAGGAGGTTGGTGGTCCTGCATGTGGCAGGGGGGTTGGAGATTCATGATCCTTGAGGTCCCTTCCAACCCTGGCCATTCTGTGATCCCTGAGCCTGCTTTCCTCCAAGCCACCCTCACGGGATAGATGCTTTCTTCCCTTCATTATCTCAGGGTCCTTCACTAGGCTCTCACCAGTAGCTCTCAGTTTCCTAGGAAAACACTATTTTATTTCACTGTAGAATACAAAGTCAGCCCCACATCATCATATCTAAGCAAGTTAAAATTCAGCATTTCTGCTTAAGAGCAAAGTCAGCCATCTTGCTGCAAATCAATCTATTCCGCAGTACTGAAGGGACATAGATCCTTAACAAGAATCACAACATGCTTCAAGAAATAACAGTTAAAAAAAACAAAAACAGAAGACTCATTAGGTGTTAGTAAAATGCTCTGTATGAACAATTTGCCCCTGGCAAAGAAGCTTCCACACCTGATTTTTGCCCTGTCACTGCTACAAGTGACATCACTTTCCAGCAAAATGGCTACTCCCTACCTCCAGCTTCAGAAACAGAAACTACTGACTTCAGAAATGAAAGCCACAGTTCTCCTGCAGCTATGACATTGTATTACTGTCAGACAGAGAGGTAGTTTCACCTCTCAGGGTTCTACATGCAAATCTAGCATAGCTACTTACGCACCCATGCCATGATTTAATTTGGGTTGGAGTGGAAGGGAAAAAGAATAGTACCTGTAGTATCAAATTGACAGATTTCTTATCAAGTCAAAGTTTGATCATCACATTAGCATTGCTTTCAGTTAATTTTTGTCCTCCCTCAAATCTAGACTGTAGTCACACTTTGTCCTCCCAGCCGCATGGCAAGTCCAGCTGCCAACAGCATTAGGAGAAGCAATGCCTTATCAGTTAATCAACAAACCAGCAGAAAGGCCATGCATTTGATCTAATTGAAGGTGCCTACTACACCAGCAGTAGCTAAAAGAAAAGGGATCTGTTCCACTGTTCTCAGCCAAAGTAGATACCACACAGCCACTGACTTAAGAGAGATTTCATCACTCTATCTTCTCTAAGGAAACAAATCAAGATTCAAGACCTTCTTAGATGTCTTAAGAAGTGAAAACAAAGCTACTAGGTAACAGCTCACCAATACAACTGAGGTAGAACACAAGTGAAGCATGTAGCTTAGCTAGAGATAAGAATGGAAGTGAATATGCAGTGCCTTCAGAAGCAAGAAGGGAGACAGAAGTCTGAATTAGCAGAAGTGAAGGAACAGCAAAGTTTTGACTTTTTGGTCAATGAGTGAGATTATTAGATTCCTGATTCTTTAAAGCAGATTTAGCAAGATACTCAACTGAAACCAAGAAGCAGTATTGAGAAATTGCAGAACATCACACTGTAACTGTAAGGAGATAAAAGGACTGCTCAACTGCTACTGAAAGTGAAACAGTTTAAGGTGAGGAGGACCTGAGGCAATCATCAGGAAGTGCTTCCTTTGGGCTGGCACAGTGCAAGCCCTAAAGCACATAACTGGAAACTATGTACAGGTAGGACATGAGAACGCTCATTAGAAGAAACACCTGCAAGGGCAGAACACAGCAGATCAAAGACTTGCATCGGAACAGTCAAGCACACATGCAGCTCCAACAAAGAAAACCCTAGAATTCAGAGAGAATATATTTTTAACCCAAACATTCTCATACCTCATTTTTCTGTAGCATGTCATCAGTCACTAACGTACCAAACACTCACTGAAATGGAACTTTGCAACATCTATGGGCACATAGGTCAGCCACCAAATAGAGCAGGTAGTGACTATTTGGGTCACTGCGGCAGTCAGGGCCTTCAGAAAATGAGCCACACAAAGTCCTGAGACACCTGTGCCCCTCTGAGCCACCAGTGAAGCTTCTAGGGGGCAAAAGGTGCCAACAGGAATGTTGGAGATGACAGTAACCCAGAATTGCACTAAAAACAGCAGTGTCACTGGATTTTCAGCATGAAAACCAAAGTCAAAGAAGCAGGAGAGGGAAAAGTCAGGTTGTCTCACCTCAAAAAGTAGCATTTCTGAGCGGACAGCCATCAACTACTAGACTGCAGCCTTACTTTGCCTATCAGAAAGCATTAAGACCAACAATTCCAACCAATTTCCACTCACAGGAAGCCATAAAGGTTGAAGTAGAGGATTTTCCACTAGAAAGAGAGTCTAGAATTATCAAAAGAAGAGGAGAAAGAAGAGCAACAATTCAGTCATTCCAATTCTTTTTGAACAGCATAGGAGCTTCTGACGCTTTTAATTTTCTGAGTCAGGCTCTCAACTTGGATATAGCTGATGTTGTTCACTTGTTTAAGTGTATGAGGTTTTTGTTGTAGTAACTGTTGCATTTTTCTTTTGTTTCTTTAATTTTACCTTTCAGAAGCAACCTAGGCTTGTTAAAGAATCTCTTCAGAAGACATTTTAAGATTGTTAGAAGATTTTGACAACAGTAAGACTAGACTCTGGAAAATGGCCAGTGAGAAATTGATCAAAACTGATTACTGAAAGCTTGCTCTGTCTCCTTTCTATCTGAAGAGATTAGCTATCCCCATCCGAAGATTTCTTACCACTTCTAGTTTCCATTCTCCACCCTAGATTCAGGAGAACATGCATTTCCTATCATAATTGCACGGATTACTCTAATCAAGTTAAATGAACTTAGCTTTATGCAGAGCCTTGGAAGTGCATCCGTCCATAGAAAGCAGCCAGAATTAATATGAGAATTGCTTGCAGAATTACAGCAGTGCCAGTACTCCAAAATCAAACACAGAATTGATGCGATATTCTGCTGTCACAAACCTCATGATATAGCCACCCTTCCATCACATAAAGGGTAACAGCATTCTAATTAAGAACTCGGGCCTTATGTTCAACAGAAGCAAACTAATGAATTGACTATGAAGATGCCATAAAGTGGGATGTGACTACGATATTTTGCCTCATGTATAACCTAGTGTCAGTAAACAATTTATTTAATGCAGAAGTCACGTGGTGTAGGCTGCAGCGGATTTATAGCTGCTTGCATTTTAGAACTGTTGTGCCTCAACAGAATAACTATCTCACTGGTTATCATACAAGCCTGCGATACTGCTGCTGGAACCATAAACATATTCTCATTAGTGGCCCATGGCAATTTATATCAGAGAATAGCTTGTGTCACACCATAGACTGAAGAGCTGCTGCTGTGCAGCCAAATGTTAGCTTTTTTAAACAGATCTGTAACAATCTGGCTACTTTGTCATAACAAAAAACCTTCTCTGTGTAGAGACTGATACACAGGTATCCATTTTTATCTACAGTTTACAGAATCAAAGGGTCAAATTCCCACCGGTATCCTAAAGATAACTTGGAAAATTCCTAAATAATGCTTTGAATGCCTCCTGCCTGAGTTATCTGAATTTTGCTATACCTATCGTTCCTGAAGTAGCATTTAATAGTAACAAGAAAAAAAAAAAAGAAGAAGAAGAAGAAAGAAGAAAACCCAGAAAATTGGAATCCTGTATCTACTTCCAAAGCTGAAGATAAACCTGTGCAAAATATATTTCAAACTGCTTCCCAGTCTTCTTGAAAGAAGACAAAATTAGGTCTGTAATAAGGATTTTTCCAACGATACCTTATTATTGTGGAACAAACATCTAGGAGAAGCCCTTGCCCAGCTCTTACAGAACGTTTTGCTAAAGGAGGGGTCTGTAGAGAAGGACAGGCAGCTCTTCCTTGTCAGAAGTGAGAAATTAGTTTAATATACTGCACAAAAGAAAAACAGAAGGGAAGGAGAGATCCCCTCATTAAATGCTCACCATTTGAGCCCTGCTTAATATGTTGACTGATAACTAGTGTACGCAGTTGCAACAAGCAGAGGCCATTCCAAACAATGATGCCCATCTGTTATGGTAGCACTTTAGTCTTAGAACTTCCAGCTGCCACTTCTGGTTAGATGTGCGACATTATGCATAGTCTCGCGTACCAAATGAGTGCAGTCTGTACTCCCTGATCATGACTTTTGCAGCTTAAGTATCACCCTGCATGTGCATTAACTGGCTGAAGTCCTCGCAACAGAGTGAGCGAGCATGTGTGTGCATATGCACAGGAGAGAATCAAAAAGAAGAATAAACCACTTCCGAGAGGCTAATTTTGCTCTTTTATTTAGAGCAAGCATCTCAGTGCACAAAGGCATCTTGCTTTCAATTCCATAATACCAACAAAGCATCCAATACCAATACCACTAGCGTGTCAAGTTTGAAGAACATAAGAACAGCACTAAGTAGTTTAGGGGATGCTACTGGACTTCATTCTGACTTTGTAGCTTGGATCATGCCAAGTGTCCTATTTGGAAACTGGCACTGGGCACTACGAACCCCAGCGAGCAGCCTCATTTGTTCTTTGGCCTACAGCATAAACAGCTTTAAAAAAAATCATCCCTTTCATCTGCAGAAGCATGAAGCCTACTTCCCCACCACAGAAGTATCTAATAGTATAAACTTCAAAGTTCTGATCTGGAAATTCAAGTTTCCATCCTCCATCCAATACAAACGCTTGCCATTGAGAACAGAGCTAACCAAAAGGAACAAGTGATCCTTCCTCTCTCCCAGGTTATATGTAAGCATAGACAGGGTTACCAAGAGATCCATCTCAAAACCCGGTTCTGTTTGCGTGCCAAAAGGCCGCATGCTTTGGCCTGCAGGATACAGCACATAAGTGAACCACTGAACTCCTACAAGACTCCAGGTACGTCAGTGTGGAAAACTAAGTGTGTATGAAGGCTTCTGTAGGGCACAGCCTGGCAGCCCCAGGACATTCAGGTACACTGAAGCATTCATGTAATGGTTTAGACCAATGTAGGCTTCGTCTCTTGCAAAGGCTCCAAAGCGGGCTGTGCCACCGAGTGGTTTGTGGTCTTCACAGACAGCCTGGGCTGGTGGCCCCTCAGCCACCGCCATGCAGCACGGGGTTGCTGCATATCTGTGGGATTGTGTTTGCAATACCAACATCCTGCACCAACAGGCTATTAAGATGATCTAAGGCCACGTTCGTTACCTGGTTTTCGTATTGCTTTTTCCTACTCATTTCAATTTTGGCCATTTCTTCGTCGGGATCCTGGAGGAACTACAAAAAGAAACGCAGAGATTTAGGGGCAGGGGCCGCGGCTCAGCGCACCGCTCAGCCCCACGCCATGCCCGAGCCCCGCCGGTCCCCGCGCCGTGACAGCCCCCCGCCCGCGCCGCACATGGCCACCCCCCCCCCAACAAAAGGCCGCGGGAGCAGCGCCGGGCCCGCACCGCCCGCCAGGCCGTGCCGTGCCGTGCCGCCCGCCGGGCCTGCACTCACCGTGGCCACATCGGCTTTCCTCTTGCGGGCCCGCACGGCCCCCTCGGCGCCCCCTTCCCCCTTGGCGGGAGCCTTCTCCTCCGCGCAGTCGCTGCCAAGAAACGAGAAGCGTGAGGGCCGGCCCGCGGGGAGCGTCCCCCGGCCTCGCTAACGGAGAGCCGGCCCACCCGCGCGGCCGGCCGGACTCACCTCTCCCGCCGCATGCTGCCCGCGGGCACGAGCGGAGCCGAGGGCCGCGCTCCCACAAAGAGCCGCGAGGCGCGGAAAGGCCCCGCCGCCCCCCGCCCCACGCCGCGCCCCGGGACCCCTCGGCTCTCGCAGCCCGGACTCCCCGGCCAGAGCACGGGCGCGGCGCTCGGTGCCCGCCCGACGGCGGCGGCGGCGGGGCGCGGGGACGGGGCGGGGCGGGAGCGCGGCGCGGGCTGCGCGGGGCACCTCCTGCCTCACGGCGCGGCCGCTCCCGTCCCTGCGCACAGCGCGGCCCGCGCCGAGCGGGACATTTAAACGCGCGGCGCGGGGCCGCCTCCCGCCCGCCCGCCCGCACACGTGGCCCCGCGCCCAGAGCCGGGGGCCGGCGCCCGGGCGGGGCGGGGTCT